GGAGCACAGGCTCTGGACGCGCAGGCTCAGCGGCCATGGCTCACGGGCCCAGCCGCTCCGCGGCATGTGGGATCCTCCCGGACCGGGGCACGAACCCATGTCCCCCGCATCAGCAGGCGGACCCTCAACCACTGCGCCACCAGGGAAGCCCCACTGTTAATATTTTGATGTGTATTCTTCAAGGTCTTTTTTGATGGGCACATAAACACATATATGTGGTTCTATTTGTCTGTGTGTAAACAAACATGGGATCATCCACAAGGATTTGCTACCTTATCAGTGACAAAAGGCTTTTGACGGTCCACCCAGGGAAATGGCTTTCATTTTCTGCAGTGTTTCTGGGTTTCAAGCAGCCCGTTCTTCCAGGTGGTGGCAGAGGGAGGAGGTAAGGGTGATGATAGCAGAGGCAGGGGAGCGATCAGTTTCCCTCCCCCACTCTCTCCTCCTCCTCTGCAGGAGAGCCTCCAGGTCCCTGCTCAGCTCTTCCCCACTCTGTCCCCTCCCTGCTCTGCCATTGCTTCAGCATCACTCTGCCACTGCTTTGGATATCCCCACCCTTCCCTGGAGACACTGCCACGTTCAGAAGAAGTCAGAATTGCTTTCTGGAGAAAACAGAATGCCTTATTTGGAGTGTGCTTCACATAAGTAATCTCTTTAGGAACACATTTCAGACATATGCGAAGAGGTATCAGTAATGATATAGATTTTTCTTTCTTGACTTTACAGGTCTCTGTGAAACAACCTATTTTGTTGTTAAAAGGCACCATGTATTTTTTAAACTTTTTATCTTATTTATCTTTAAAACCATTTGAGTGCTGCTTGAAACAGATGACAAGGGGAAATTTCATACACGGATTAAATATGTGAAAGGGTTCTGCAGACGCGTTGCCATAGGAGGGCCACTGCCTGGGAAGGTAGATAGCAAGGAGCCAGAATGACATCCGGGTTTCAAATTCTGGAATGTTTTCTCAAGCACCCTTTTCAGGTTATGGGTTCTGTGCCAGGTGCAAGGGCACCGCGGTGAACAAGCCAGTGCCATCCCTGCAGTCCTGGGCTCTCAGTCTCGTGAGAAAAAGAGAATTCAAGAAACAAGCTCAGTGGAGTGAGAGAGAGTCACAGAATGATGGGGGTACAGGCAACACAGGGGAAACTGCTCTTGAGATCATAAACCTTTAATACAATTTCCTTGAGACATGAAAAGTTCTTGTGCCCCTTGATATCCCCCTGACACGACAGTCCTCTTGAAAGATAAAACTGGGACAACCACTAGTACATGTATACTTGTTCCCCCTAGACCCACAGGACTGGTAATTACTTCTAAAAGTATGCCTTTTGTTACCTTCTCCATCATCTGCCCTCTAACTCCCCACCACAGATAAATACACCCATTAGACTCTTGTTGTGTTCGAAAAGCAGTATGTGAGGGGCTGTGTTGTTAAAGTTCTCTAACCAAGTGAGACCACTCCTGAATAACCTAACTGTACAGGAGACAGAGCTGCCTCAGGACCCTGGGTTGACTTTCATTCTGCAAAAACAGTAGCCCATTTCAGGATGCTTTGAAGTTTTGCCAATTCTGAGAGTAATCCAAGCCTCTCTGACCAGTGTCGAGCCAAGCTGAGACATGGAGGTGTCCATCAATCCCCAGCTCACCTGGAGCTTATGAGGCACCCCATTTGTTGTGGTGGAGAGAGGGCGTTCTTGCCACTTTACCACCCAGGTTGTCCTTGATGAGATGAGGAGGAGAGACTAACAGTGATATTTTTCTCTTTTTTAAAAAATTTTCTTTACTTTTTTATACAGAAGGTTTTTATTAGTCATCCATTTCATACACATCAGTGTACACATGTCAATCCCAATCTCCCAATCCATCACACCACGACCCGCACCCCCCACTGCTTTCCCAGCTTGGTGTCCATACGTTTCTTCTCTACATCTGCGTCTCAATTTCTGCCCTACAAACCAGTTCATCTGTAGCATTTTTCTAGGTTCCAAATATATGTGTTAATATACGACATTGGTTTTTCTCTTTTTGACTTACTTCACTCTGTATGACAGTCTCTAGATCCATCCACATCTCTACAAATGACCCAATTTCGTTCCTTTTCATGGCTGAGATATATTCCATTGTATATATGTACCACATCTTCTTTATCCATTCGTCTGTCGATGGGCATTTAGGTTGCTTCCATGACCTGGCTATTGTAAACAGTGCTGCAATGAACATTGGGGTGCATGTGCCTATTTGAATTATGGTTTTCTCTGGGTATATGCCCAGTAGTGGGATTGCTGGGTCATATGGTAATTCTGCTTATAGTTTTTTAAGGAACCTCCATACTGTTCTCCATAGTGGCTGTATCAATTTACATTCCCACCAACAGTGCAAGAGGGTTCCATTTTCTCCAAACTCTCTCCAGCATTTGATGTTTGCAGATTCTCTGCTGATGCCCATTCTAACTGGTGTGAGGTGATACCTCATTGTAGTTTTGATTTGCATTTCTCTAATAATTAGTGATGTTGAGCAGCTTTTCATGTGCCTCTTAGCTATCTGTATGTCTTCTTTGGAGAAATGTCTGTTTAGGTCTTCTGCCCATTTTTGGATTCGGTTCTTTGTTTTTTTTTAATATTGAGCTGCATCAACTGTTTATATATTTTGGAGATTAATCCTTTGTCCGTTGATTCATTTGCAAATATTTTCTCCCATTCTGAGGGTTGCCTTTTTGTCTTGTTTACGGCTTCCTTTGCTGTGCAAAAGCTTTTAAGTTTCATTAGGTCCCATTTGTTTATTTCTGTTTTTATTTCCATTACCCAAGGAGGTGAATCAAAAAAGATCTTGCTGTGATTTATGTCAAACAGTGTTCTTCCTATGTTTTCCTCTAGGAGTTTTATAATGTCCGGTCTTACATTTAGGTCTTTAATATATTTTGAGTTTATTTTTTTGTATGGTGTTAAGGATTGTTCTAATTTCATTCATTTACATGTAGCTGTCCAGTTGTCCCAGCACCACTTATTGAAGAGACTGTCTTTTCTCCATTGTATATCCTTGCCTCCTTTGTCATAGATTACTTGACCATAGGTGTGTGGGTTTATCTCTGGGCTTTCTATCTTCTTCCACTGATCTATGTTTCAGTTTCTGTGCCAGTACCATATTGTCTTGATTACTATAGCTGTGTAGTATAGTCTGAAGTCAGGGAGTCTGATTCCTCCAGCTCCATTTTTTTCCTTCAAGACTGCTTTGGCTATTCAGGGTCTTCTGTGTCTCGATACAAATTTTAAGATTTTTTTTGTTCTAGTTCTGTAAAAAATGCCATTGGTAATTTGAGAGGGATTGCATTGAATCTGTAGATTGCTTTCGGTAGTACAGTCATTTTCACAACATTGATTCTTCAAATCCAAGAACATGGTATATCTCTCCATCTGTCGGTATCATCTTTAATTTCTTTCATCCGTGTCTTATAGTTATCTGCATACAGGTCTTTTGTCTCCCTAGATACGTTTATTCCTAGGTATTTTATTCCTTTTGTTGCAATGGTAACTGGGAGTGTTTCCTTAATTTTTCTTTCAGATTTTTCAGCATTAGTGTATAGGAATGCAAGAGATTTCTGCGCACTAATTTTGTATCCTCCAACTTTACCAAATTGATTGATTACCTCTAGTAGTTCTCTGCTGGCATCTTTAGGATTCTCTATATATAGTATCATATCATCTGCAAACAGTGACAGTTTTACTTCTTCTTTTCCAATTTGTATTCCTTTCACTTCTTTTTCTTCTCTGATTGAAATGGCTAGGACTTCCAAAACTATGTTGAATACTAGTGGTGAGAGTGGACATCCTTGTCTTGTTTCTTATCTTAGAAGAAATGCTTTCAGTTTTTCACCATTGAGAATGATGTTTGCTGTGGGTTTGTCATATATTGTCTTTATTATGTTGAGGTAGGTGCCCTCTATGCCCACTTTCTGGAGAGTTTTTATCATAAATGCTGTTGAATTTTGTCCAAAGCTTTTTCTGCATCTATTGAGATGATCATATGGCTTTTATTCTTCAATTTGTTAATATGCTGTATCACATTGATTGATTTGAGTATATTGAAGAATCCTTGCATCCCTGGGATAAATCCCACTTGATCATGGTGTATGATCCTTTTAATGTGCTGCTGGATTCTGTTTGCTAGTATTTTGTTGAGGATTTTTGCATGTATATTCGTCAGTGATATTGGTCTATAATTTTTTTGTAGTATCTTTGTCTGGTTTTGGTATCAGGGTGATGGTGCCCTCATAGATTGGGTTTGGGAGTGTTCCTTCCTCTGCAATTTTTTGGAAGAGTTTGAGAAGGATGAGTGTTAGCTCTTCTCTAAATGTTTGATAGAATTCATCTGTGAAGCCATCTGGTCCTGGACTTTTGTTTGTTGGAAGATTTTTAATCACAGTTTCAATTTCATTACTTGTGATTGGTCTGTTCATATTTTCTATTGCTTCCTCGTCCAGTCTTGGAAGGTTATACCTTTCTAAGCATTTGTCCATTTCTTCCAGGTTGTCCATTTTATTGGCAGAGAGTTGCTTGTAGTAGTCTCTTAGGATGCTTTGTATTTCTGCAGTGTCTGTTTTAACTTCTCCGTTTTCATTTCTAATTTTATTGGTTTGAGT